GTCGAATCGCCGGACGTGTCCATAAGGCCAGGCCGGGCGTTTCGCCCGAGTCATTCTCTCGCGAGCTGTGGCGCGTGAGCTTGGCATCCGCAGCAGGTCCAGCTTTCAAAATCGGAGCATCTTCTTGGGAGGGAGGGCTCAAGGTGAGATCCATGCGGGCTTTTGCACCTCGAAGATCAATCCGTCTTGTGATTCACCTTTTGCAAATGAAAGCCTCGAAAACCGATCGAAATGGCATTTCAGATTTCACCCTTTGTCCTCCACCTAGAGACAATGCTTTCAAACTGTGCCTCTCGCCTTAGCGCCGCGAACATTCGTTGGCTCGCTTCCCTCCCATTCTTTTTACATTGCGCAGACAGGCCGCAATGACACGAGCGAGGTGCAGCGGTACATCGCCGCGCGGACGCCTGCAGCGTCTTCAAGGATGAGCCCGGCTCGTTTTCAAGATGTGCCTCTCGCCTCAGCACCGCGAGCACTCGTCTTGAACAGTTGCGACTGTCTCAAGGACGGATGCCGTTATTTTCTAAAACTGTGGCTCTCGTCTTGGCGCCAAACACATCCATGCGATCAGACCCTCACCATCCAACGCAAACGTTTCGTAACACATTCATCCGACCCAACCCTCACCAATCTAGACGTTCGTCCGCATCCGTACGACCCAACCCTCACCATCCTAAGCAACAAATTATGAGTATGCGCACATCACTAAGACCCTACCCTTACTACCACTCTACGCAAACATGTTGTCTGGTGCGCATCAATCCGCCCCACCTTCACTATCTCATGCGAACTGTATGATCCGGCGTACACCCATTCGACCCAACACGTTGCATCATCAGGTGTAAAGCATACGATGCGGTGCATCTGCATCCGACACAACCCTGACCATCCGATGCAAAACAAATTTCGGCGCACATCCAGCTGAGCCAACCCTAACCATCCTACGTGAAAGCAAGATTTGGCGCGCATCTGCTGGTTTTTAACAGCGACGCGCCCCCTGGCCCAGCAGAGATCCTGGGAGAGAAGGGCCACTAAGCAATTATCCCACAGCGAATACGCAAAACAAGCTACATACGCGCGTTTCGGGCACCCATCGCCGGCTCCGATGTTGAACCCGAGTTCTCCCCAGGCTACCCAGGGCGCTCCCAGATGCCCCCAGGCGATACGCCTACAATCCCCCCCAAGCGCTCCCAGGCTCGCCATCGCCAGCAGCAGCAGCAACATCCACATCCTTATTTTCATCGTACTCGTCGCCGCAGGAAGACTCACAGGGTAGGTGGACTCAGACCGCCTTGACACGTGGACCACAAACGGTTTTACAAAGGGGGTCTCGCGATGCTGGCGCCGCACACCATCGTCTTACATAACCGAAGAACTGATAGAGGGCGGGTCGTTCTGCGCGAGTGGATTGCGATTCCTTCCCAAGACGGTGGGGCATTGGACAAGGAGCCAGGATTCTGGGGTCTTCTCGGAAATAATCGATGTTGGTCAAGTCATGTTGATGATCGGAAACCCAATTGCACACGCGGCCCACCAAAGCGTCAGATCCCCAGGAATGCCACTAGTAGCTCGAGAAACATCCAACGGTGTATTCGAAATAGCCGTGTCTGCTGTGCACACGTTGGTCCGCATCCTGCCACTGTCGTCATCGTAAACAGGGTTGCCCGCACGAGTATCCAAGCTCATCAGCTGCGCCACAGCCTGGCTGTCGACCGCGTATACGGGCTGAGGCAGACTAGCGGCGGACGGCCAACACTGATCCCGTTGCCAGCGAACCAGTGTCGGCAGAAACCAACTGCTGGGTTCACGCGGGAGGCTCTGGTCTGCGCAGGCATCGTCTCCCAGCCAGCGCCTAGATCGAACACGTGGTGAAAAAAAGGCCCTCGCCATCGCAAGATCCAGGGGGCCTCCAGAGCGAACGTCCTCGAGTGATGCCTTCACATTGCAACAGCCGAGCAGGCTTGAATGTCTCGATCGCCCATCTGCGCCCAAGACTTCTTGGCAAACAGGCAACGCATTGCACATGTGAGCCACTCTTCGCATATACAAGTTGTTCCATCCTCCGCTTCAAAAGTGGAATCCCACCAGCCCTCTGGGCTTAGGTGGTATAACCCGTTTTTGTTCTTCTCTCTTCCACTGAAACCCTCCCCCTACCCCTTCCCCTGGGCAAGGACGGGGCGCGCCGCGAGGCGTTAGAGCGTCCAAGATGGCCCAAGATGTACAAGTTGTTCCATCCTCTGCTTCCAAGGTGGAATTTCTGTGACGCGCTTCCAAAAACATAAGATCGCGCTCGGTACGGATCGCTGCCAGATGGCGCGCGGCTGTTTTCCCGTGCCAAGCATGCGCGCACACGCCTGTCTCAGAACTGCCACATGGATTCGTTCATACTTGTAGCCACCATTTGTCAATCCTCTGGGAGCCCGACGAGCCTTCATCGTAGATCGGCCATGGATAGCACCGCCGCCCTCATCAGGTAGGGAATCCTCCAATGTCTGTGGCC